AGATGGTATTTTTCCTCTCTCCTGGTCTTGGGACTACTGTTTTTCCCATTACTAAGGGTGTGGACCTAAGGGTTCCAAATAAGTTCATGAATTTTAACTTCTGTTCCTAGTTTAAGTTTGTCTCAACAGATTTCCACTTGGCTGGCAGTCACCTCCAAGTTTTGGTCACTGACTCCACTGCTTCAGATGACTGTGAGCTCCGGACTTGCTAAAAGCTACTGTGGAACAGCCCAGCTAGCATGGTTCCTCCCTGTCCCTATGGGGTCAGGCATCTACATGCTTCTGATGAATGCCCCCTTACCCAGTCTTTGACTAGCTTTTCAGCCTTTTGAGAGGCCCTGACAATGGTGCCCCAATGCCAGCTCGAAGCAGTTTCAGAAGAGAATATGTCACCCATGTTCCCTGTTCAGAAAAGGCTTAAATGCTGGGTCAAAAGGAAACTCCCTGGCATAGAGACAAGATGGCTAACTATGCATGGCCATTATCAGAGAGGGATTCTTATGAGCTAACTGTTCAAAACCCATGAATGGGTTCCATTAGGCACATGAGAAGGGTGAAATGTGAGACCAAAATGAGCCATCTTAGAAATAAGACCAAAATGCTTTCACCCTAAAATTAAGGCCTAAGATTTCTCCTTTTGGGATTAGGCCATTAATTACTAAAACCAGTCAGTTCAGTTTCCAGAAACCAGGAAGTGTAAAGGGACAGAGTCACAAGATAGTCACGAGGTAATGCCTGCCGGACTATGGAATGTCCTCTCCCTGGTTTCCAGGGCAAATGACCTCAGAAATGCCCCCACCCGAGGGCAGACAATGAGAAATGGTGGCAGGCAACCACTCCCTTAGAACTAATTTCTGGAAGTCCCTAGAAGCTAGCCAATCCGAATTGTACCTGTACTAGCACCCCTAAATTATGTAACCTTGTGATTTTTCCCTTTAAAAGCTGAGCTTGCAGATAGGTGGGCACTTCCTCCAGCCTCCACTGCGATGGATGTATTGGATGAAGTCCCTGCCTAGGCTTGTATTGCTTTTGGATATCCAGAATTAAACCTTGCTTTGGTATTCTGGCATGCTCGTCTTTGGAGGTCTGTCTTGGGGATTACAATCTGGGCACAACATTGAGAGCTGTCAGACTCAGAATGACAACCGAGGAACTTACATTGGACCAAACTAGGCCCTCTGAATGTAGGTGAAAATTGTGTGACTTGGTCAGTTTGTGGGGCCCATGGCAGTGGGACTAGGATTTATCCCTAGTAAATGAACTGGAATTTTGGAGTCCATTCTATATATGGGAATGCCTTGCTCAGCTGTAAAGCAGAGTGGAGGTGCTTGGTGATACGCCAGACTTTGTTGACTCCCCATGGGAGGCCTTATCCTCTCTGATGAGCAGGAGGAGGGAAGAGAGGGGAACTTTGGTTGGTATGTAAACTGAAAAAAATAAAATAACATAAAGAAAATTATCCTGGAACTTCTGTTCATTGAGACATGATAACTGATGGCTGTGGCTGTGGCTTTGTGCTTGCCACAATGGCTGTACAGAAAACCATCTCACTTAGCAGTGAAAAAATATCCCATTGAGAAATTATTTGAATGGACATGTCAGCATTGATGTGATAATTTAATGACTAAAATGCAGGGCTGTGTGGAGGGTCTGAGTTCTTGGTCTACAAGCCTGAGGACCAGTTTGAATTCCAGCACCTCCATAAAAATGAATCTTGGAAAGTCATGGGATCCTCATACAAAGGTAAAAGATAAGGGATGATAAAATATCCTCATAGCTTGTCATTCAGTGATACCCTGTTACAAAAGGGAGACACTCGCACTTGGTCAGACAAGGGGCAGTGCTAACAGCATGGCTTCAGGATATCCCTGCAATGCACCAACTTTCCCCCCCACCCTTTGTTGCATTCTTGAGAAGCTAGATGGGAGGGTTCTCCCTGCTCATCAGAACTGGGAGAAGGGAATGTGCCAAACAAGGTGAACATTACCAGCAAGCCCTCAGATGGGGTGGGGCCTTAAAATTCCACACCTCTTTGACATGCTTGAACTCAGTCCCTCAAGAACTTGGGAGTATGGGCTTGTTTGAAATTGCAGGCAGGGAAGCTTAGAGAGGAACGTCTTGTAGGTTGTCAGGTGTCCATGTTTCCAGAATCCTGGACCAGCAATGCAAGTTGGCCAAGGTCTGTGTGATTTCTCAGAGAGGCCCTGAGGGAAACAGGAGACCAGAATGCATATGGGATTTGTGCTGGAGTCCTCAGGGCTCAAAGGCAGGATGAAACATGGGGTGTGCTGACACCCATGGGAGCAAGGCAAGAGAACCTGATTCTTACTATTCTATGGTCCTCCTTTGCAAAGTGACTAGATTGTTTTGTGTTATTCCTTTTGAAGAGCCAACCCCACTTATTAAATTTCATGTCCCTGGTATATACCCTTTGGTGTTATGGAACTCTTACTTTTTTGTCTCCTGCCCTGGGCATGAAACTAGTCTTATCCATGCATGTAGATTAAGTATTCCACCATGGCCCACATCCCCATCCAGGAATCAAGTATGCTTCTTGCACAAAGCACAACTCTCTAGTTTTGACCTCTTTATTGGGCAAAACTATCTCTCAAGTGTAGCCAGTGAGAAGATAGGTCAGGTAGGGACTCAGGACTACTGGTTTGACTTTTGTCCTGACAAAAGACCATGAACTTGAGACTTCCCTTCCTTCAGCCCTCTGGAATGACGTGCTGGATGGGTCCACCATCTCACCAAGAAGGAACTTTTTGGGCCAAGTGCTTAGATGATGAGATCTCTGTGTGCATCACAGAGACAGCTACTGTCCCATTACATGGAATGAATGAAATTTCCCACAGGCAGGCCCTCACAGTGACAGGTGGCTTGGGTTATCACACAGGCAGAACTGGGGACATGAGGAATGAGGCTTGTAAGAGGGGAGTCCATTATGTTTCCTCAGAATTGGTGCCTGGCCCCCAGCCAAACCCTGAAAGCCATGTTACTGTTGAATCCATGAGGAAAAGTTTAGCAGGAATCTTATAAGGTCTTAATAATAAAATCAAACCTGAGGCCAGTTATTGGGGTAAATGCTGGAAGATCAGAGAAGTAGAACAAGCCACAGCTACCTCACCTTGCCAATTCCTCAGGTGATCCTGTTTCCTCAGATAGGATGCCTCTGAGTGCTCATCCAGAAAGAATCTCAGCTGAACTGCTTCTCAAAAGTCTGAAATCTTCATCAGCCAAATGATTCTTGTTCCTTGTCTTCATGCCTTATATATCTTGCTGTTTTGCCATCACTCCTTGGGATTAAAGGCTCACTTCTTGGGATTAAAGCCTGTGTCACCATGCCTGGCTGTTTCCAATGTGTCCTTGAATTCACAGAGATCTAGAGGGATTTTTGCCTCTGGAATGCTAGGATTAAAGGTGTAAGTGCCACCAATTTCTAGCCTCTGTATCTAGTGGCTGTTCTGTTCTTTGATCCCAGATTAGTTTATTAGGGTGCGCAATATTTTGGGGAACACAATGCCACCACAGACAAGAGACCCCATCACTCTGGTCTTTGGGACATTTGCTTTGGTCCCTGCCTTTGTTTATCTCAGCTGTCTTTTCAGTCAGTCTCCAGGAGAAGATCCTTGTTCTTAATTTCCAAAATGGATTCAGGCAGGGGCTGGCTTCAGACAAGAATTCCTAGGTTTTGCTGAAGCTAGAAGCCTGGCTTGGAGACCAGGCTCATGTTCTAGCTTTTTGTGTATGCAAGTCACCAGCATCCCCAGCATATCAAGAGTGCAAAATGACAAGTCCTTGAACTCCTACCCTCTACAATAGCCTTTACATATGACATCTGATGTGGGGTGTTCCTTCGCTCCATGGTCTTTTCCATCCTCTGATATTGTAGTGTCTCTGGCTTGTATCATCACAAGGGTAGTGACCAAAGGTGATGACAGCATATGCCATGTCAAGTGGACCACATGGAATGGACCCAAGGTGAGACTTGATGCTTTGTGCTGTTTTGAGCCCCTTGCCCATTCTATCATTCCAAGGATTTTCTCCAGGTCTTTGTTCACTTCAGGGAATTCGTATTTCCTCCATACCACACTGTTTTAATTTCCTAGCAGCCTTTTTATCTCATTGAGTATGAATCTTAACATGGGAAAGAGCCAGTCATAAGCACTGTTTGAAAGGTTAGCCCTAAACACCGTACAAAGAATAGTTTAGAGTGAATCATTTCTAGACCTCTGTCTTTAGAAAAAGGAGGTACTGAAGTTTCCCTTGTATCTGAGGAGAGGCTCCTGGGAAGGGTAACTTGAAGTGAGTTAGTTAGCAGGTAGGCAAAAGCTGTGACATCAGCAGTCCCATACTTGAGTATTCTATGGTATCCTGGAGAGCCCTGTCATCTCCTGTGATGTCACCAGTGTTGCTGTGATACCAACAGTCTATGGGGCATTTATTCAGTGCCTTTATGCTTAACCTATAGACATGGTGGCATCATGAAGCAAACTACTGGGAAAAGAGAATGGAGCACATAGGAGACTAGACAGCGTCAGAAGGAAACTTTGGTACTTTTGTAAAACAGCAAGAGACAAACCTTCTGGGAATGTTGAGTCTTGGCAGGGGATGGAGTGCTTCCTGCAGGAGGTAGGCTTGAAGTGGTCCTTCAAGGAGTAGGGCATGGGAGGGACTTTTGGAAAGTGTCATCTTGTGATAAGAGCCATTCTGAAGAATTAATACAGAGACGTTTTACAGTTTTGGTGACTCTGTCAGTTCCATTTCAGTGAGTTCTTAGGTATCTCCTCTCTTTGATTGTGAGTCTCTTCTTTCTTTTTCTCTTTGTCTTTCTGCCTATCTTTCAATCTCCTTTTCTTTGTTACCACAAAGAAGCAGCAAGCCAGAGACATGACAGAAACATTTCATGGATAGAGCTATGTAAGCCCTTTGGAAATGAAGCTCACCTGTCTGAAACAGAGCTACAGGATTTGTTGTCTTCCCTCACTGTGTCACTTTTCAATCCTTCATTTTTATTTTTTTCTGTCAAACAATACATACCAAATACAGTTTCCCCTCCTTACATTCCTCCATGTCCTTTCTATTGCTCCTCTCTTCACCTGATCCACTCCTCTTCCATTTCCCTTCAGAAGAGAGTAGATATCCCAGGGTTATCAATCAAAACCTGCATAACAAGTGACAATAAGACTAGGCAGGAACCCTCCTATCAAGGCTGGACAAAGCAAGCTAATAGGAGATAAAGGATTTCAAGAACAGGTAAAAGAGTCAAAGACACAAACCCCCTTCCACTGTTAGTACTTGCACAAAAACACCAAGCTATACAATTGTAACACATATGCAGAGGAACTGGTGTGGACACATGCAGGGCATGGTTGCTGTTTCTGTCTCTGTGAGCCGCAATGAGTCCTGCTCAGAAGATTCTCTGCATTGTATTCTCCTCTGTCCTTTTAGGTAGAATTTTTTTTTTCAAAATCCATTCTGAGCTTTTGAGCTGAGATTTTCCTCCATGTATTGCTATTAGTCTTAGGTTTGGTCTTTTAATAGTGTTCCAAATTTCCTGGATCTTATGTTTCTGGAAATCTTTAGATTTAACATTTTCTTTCATTGATATAGCCATCTCTTCTATCATATCTTCACAGCCTAAAATTCTCTGTTCCATGTCTTATATCCTTTGGTGAAGCTTGCCTCTGTAGTTCTTGTTTGAATACCTAGATTTTCATTTCTAGAATTCCTTCAGTTTGCACTTTTTTAATTGCATCTATTTCCATTATCAGGTCTTGAAATGCTTCACTCATTTCCATTAGGTGTTTGTTTGCCTTTGGCTTTCTTAAAAGGATTTCTTAATTTTTTTTCCAATAATACATTTATCCTTTCTCTGCTTTCTTTAAAGGGATTCATTCATTTCCTCTTTAAGAACTCCTATCATCTTTATAAAGTTTGTCTTAAGGCCTTTCCAAGCAAGTAACAAAAAAAATCAATGAGAACTCACAGCAGCTAACATCTCACACTAGCCAGCACTTAATAGATTCTCTTAAAATGCATACTGGGAACTCACATACTACTGCCTCAGTTCATAAATATTACTGTTTCTTTTTAGAGGAAGCAGAATAGTCTTTGTCCTCATGTCATTCCTGTCCACATTTGAGGTTCTGCCTTTGGGAAGGGTTCAGAGACAGGATTTTAGGCAAAGACATACCCTGAAGATGCAGCCTACCAGAAACACAAACATTTTAAAATGAATTAATGATGACAGAGTGGACCTAAGATTGAAACCACAGGGTTTGAAAGAATGAATACCTATTCTTCATGATCTCTTCTGTGATAAAGATAACACAATCTCACTGCTAATTTCTTTCTATACTCATTTGCTGTAGCTGACTGGTGATTCTCTGCACCTTCTGCTTCACCTGCATCTTGGTGATGAAGGTTTGGTGGGAAAGTAGCTCCTTGATGCTCCTTGTGGGTAGATAAACACAATTTAACTTGCAGTATGACAAGGCAAAGAGGATGGAAACCCCCCCCCCCTTAGTCCTAATCAAATGTTTGAGAAAGCTTGTTTAACAATGACTCAGTGACACCCCAAATTATATTGTTCCATGCTTCAGATGCCCCCTTTTGGGAATTCAGCTGCCTCCTCTATTTGAAGGGAGGTGGTTATCTCAGCTATCTTGTTCTCCCTGCCCTCATAACACATGCTCCCAGTAACCAAAAAGATGGCCTCTTCAGGCGTATTCACCAATGAAGACTCAAAATTCAACTTGGCTGCAGAGTCCACAAGCCTGTGGGTTCACAAGTCAGGAGAAAATTGCCATAGTTCACAATCACCCCAGTAATTTAGAGTTTCCCTAAATATCTTGACAGGTCACTAATCGTATAACTATTGATGGAGAAGACATATAAAGGCAGAATATGTTCACCAGACTCAACAAGCCACCTCAATAACAACTCAGGACAAACAGAGCATCTGGTAAGTACCTAAAGTTAGCCAGTGTGGTTGAAGTACAGTGATGTCCTGCCTTGAAATGGGCACACCTCATTAATCACTCCCAGGTTAATGTTGGTCTCATGTTCACTCATCAATGCCTATCCTACAAAAGGGATGAAAGTCAAGAGCTCCCAGCATAATGCTTTGGCCTTACCAGTTCCTGACCTCTGAGCCAGAACAATTAATATCCTAGAATTCTTGAATTTCAAGAGCTATGACAATCAGGGAAGTTCTGTTGGTTCCCAGAGACACCAGCTTTCTGGGCCCCATTACTGAAAGATTCAGCTCAAGCCCACTTCCTCCAGGAAGCTTCCATTTTCCTGCACAGAACTCATTACACCATTCTCTTGACCATTTCTTCCTTGATGTTTTACATTGAGGCTGAAGGTCAGCTTTCTTCTGTCACTCCTCCATTCTCTGCGAGCCTTCTTGAAGAGCTCCATCTTCTTTCTGAATTAGAATCTTCAGTATGCCATCATGTTCATCTGTAAATGGTGAAGGCACGGAATAAATTTCCCAAGGGGAGATGGTGTTGCCACAACATAGGTGACATCACAGAGGATGCGATGGCTCTCCAGGATACAATAGAATGTCCAGGGAAGAGCTGTAGATGTCATGGGAACTGGCATTGCTTTCCTGCTAATGTGCTTTCCTCACCATACACTAGAAGTCAAGTTGACCTTTCCAGGAGCCTCTGCTGGGATACAAGGGGCGCCCTTCAGCATCCTCTTCATCCAAAGTGAGAGATCTCTCCCCGATTGATAGGACATCCATTAATTCTTTCCAGGTGTGGAACTGAATGTTTATCTCCTCCTGAATTGTTATGTACACAAGGTAATAATATCATAGAAATTCATATATGCTAAAGTTCATCATAAGTACCTGCATCTGAGATGACCAGCCACACTAGCAGAAGCCCATGAACTGTGGACTGGTGGCTGTGGAGTCCTGATGGGCCTGGACTAGGTCCTCTGAATACAGAAGATGGTAGTTTGGCTCGAACTGCTTGGGGGCCATCCAGGCAGGGGTTTGGGATCTGTCCCTGGTCTTTGGGTAGGCTTCTGGAACCTGGTTCCTGTGGAGTGAAACCTTAAACAGCCTTGGTTTAGTAGGGAGGGGTTTGTACATGCCTAGACTCAGAGTGCTGGGCTCTACTGACCCCCATGGGAGACCTCCTTTTGGGGTATGTGGGGATGTGGTGTGGCTTGGGAGAGAGAGCTGAGTGTGGGTAGAGGGAGGAAAGTGGTCTGTGGAGAGTATGTGGCGTGAGTAGAAAATTTCTTAATAATGAAAAATGAAGTAGAAAACAAAGCAATTCAAAAAAGATGTAAAATAAAAAAGTACCTACATTTCCTTATCTCCTTAGCCAGAAGACTTTTTAGACTTAATGCTGACTGAGAAGAACACCTGTTAAAGAAATTCCTGGTAAAGCATCTACAGGAAACAGCTAGGCTGAGTAATGCTAGAGAAAGAAGCTGACACAGCCTAGGAACAAGTACCTATAGGAGCGTGACATGGTCATGGATCTCAGTATGACTAAATTCTGTTTCATCAGCATGTGTGTAGTGGGTGTTAAACTCTCTGTTGAGTAGCTCAAGGTATTCTCCTCTTCCTGGGTGGTAATGGTGGCCAGACAGCTGGAGTCTTCCACATAGAATATGAGTTTCCCTTAGAGCAAAATATATTCAGGCAAATCCTTTGCAAGCCCCTTCATAGTTAGCAACGTAGTTACTTGGGTTCCACTGGACACTCTAGATCAATGGTTTTTACTTTTTCCCAATTCTTTGACCCTTTAAATCTTTAAATAGCATGAAAGTAGTTCTTCATGTTGTGGTGAGCCCTAAACATATCTCTTTCATTGTTAATTAACTTTTATTTTGCTACTTTTTTTAGATTTATTTATTTATTATGTATACAGTATTCTGTCTGCACTTATCCCTTCAGGCCAGAAGAGGGCTCCAGATCTCATTACAGATTGGTGTGAGCCACCATGTGGTTGCTGGGAATTGAACTCAGGATCTTTGGAAGAGCAAGCAGTGTTTTTAACCTGTGAGTCATCTCTCCAGCCTTCATTTTGCTAGTGTTATGAATCATAATTCAAATATTTGATGTTCAGGATATCTGATATTAGACCCCAATGGGGTGGTGACCCACACAGGTTGAGGACCACAGCTCTGAATGCAGGCAGAAATCTCCTCAAAGCCTGGCAGTGATGCTGGGGCAGTGTGATTCTTAGTTTTGAGACAGGGTTTTTCTGTGTAGCTGTGGAACCTTTCCTGGAACTCACTTTGGACACCAGGATGGCCTTGAACTCACAGAGATCCACCTTCATCTGCCTCTGGAGTGCTGGGATTAAAGGCATGCAGCACCACAGCCCAGCAATTCTTAGTTTTTCTTATCAGACTGAATCAACCTAGTCACCTGGGAAGAAGGACACTCAATGAGGAATTGTATAGATCAGATTTACTTTGAGCAGGTCTCTGTGGGATTTTATTAATTGTTAATTGAGTTTAGAGTCTCTAAAATAGGCAGAATGATTTCATTGTCGGCAACCTGTACTGTGTTCTATGAAGAAGCTCGAGCAAAAGCATAAGCAAACAGGCAGCATGGGTCATTTGTTTATCTCTGCTCTTGGCTGTGGATGTGATATCATTAGCTGAGTTCCTACCTCGATTTCCCAAAAATGGAACTAGTACCTGGAATTGTGGTCTATGATCAATTTCTCCCATTCTCAGTCTATGTACCTGTACCTAGTAACTCAGTGTAATAAAGATGTTAAGAAAGCACTCTATGACAGAGGGATTTTCACAAGTCAGTGAGATGTGCATTTCATGAAATGCTCAACAGCACCATATCTGTCTCAGAAGAAGAGATCCTACTTCCTCCTGAACCCAACCTGTGTTTCCCTGTCCTTTAAAAAGGCACAGAGACACCCATAGACTCACAAACCACTTCACCCTGTCAACAAGTGCCCCCTGATATTGTTTTACCATATCAAGTACTATGCTAAATTCTTTTAATGTGTTATATACAACAACATTCACTTCAATGAATGAATTTTTCTTTGAATTTCCTGACCATTAAACTTTTCAGATATGGGGAATTGGATCTGAATTCACTTCCTTGACTATGAATTTCAATCTTATACTATGTCCTTCCTTGAAGGTAAGAAGAAGCTCCTTCAAGCTGAGAGCAAAGTAGCACCTTAAATTCCAGGTATGCCGGGGAATAAGTAATGACTGGCAATGTGTCCACTAGTTACCTTAGGTAGGAGATTAACTCAAGGGCTGACATACAAACATCCCTGTGAGAACTTCTCGGGTTTGTCTAACTTCTGTGGCTCTTCATTAAGGCTTCTGTAAACAGATCTTTGAAAAATTTCTTCCTTTAAAAGTAAATAGATCCTATGAGATGTGAAAAGTCATGTTGATTTTTTCCTTCTCCTCCTAGAACATGAAAGAGGTACTTTTGCACTACATGAAAGGTTATCCAAGGAGAATATGGTCTGAAATAACAACAGGTACAGGTTTAGAATGCTGGTATGAGTTAAAGAATACAAAACAAGGGCAGGACAGCAGGAAAACCCAGGAAATTCTTCATTATGTCTTGCCAGTTCAGCCTCTCTGCATTACGGTTTCTTCTACCTATAGGAAGATGTGTTGGGATGCATCATGAAGATGGGTGCTGTCACAAGGCATGACTTATAAAATCACTGCCTTCATAAGTTGGACTTTGTTTGTTTGTTTGTTGGCATGATTTTTTGGGGGTGGGAATGATGAGCTAGCATTTATATGAGCTAAGCTGCACATCTCTTTCTGGTGAACATTTCTTTCTGGGATCAGAGGAATCAGATGGTGAACTTACCAAAAATGCTGAAAATGATGCTTTAGAGCAGAGAATCACTTCAATTGGTTGAAAAAAATCATTAACACTTCTCTTCATGACTGTTCCCAAATATTGTGCATGGCTCTTGTCCTTTGCCTTTTGA